GGTGAGCAGCAGACAGATTGGCAGCAGGGGCTGGACACACAGCTCACTGGGGTGCAGATGAGGGTCAGGCAGGAGGCTGGGGCACAGCTGCTGGACTGGCAGCAGCTGGGCACACAACAACTGGACTGGCAGCAGCTGGGCACACAGCAGCTGGGCTGGCAGCAGCTGGACTGGCAGCAGCTGGGGGCACAGCAGGTAGGCTCACAGCAGCTCTCTGGGCAGTCATCCACCTGCCAGGAGGAGTTGGTGCAGGCGTCAGAGCAGACAGACATGGTGGAGGTGGCCATGACTGATTGGAGGGCAGAGAGTAAGGTGAGAAGTTGTGAGTGAGTGAGTGAGGTGTGATGGCGGCAGGTGCCACTTATATATATCTCAAGGGTGTGTGTGTGTGTGTTTGTGTTGTCCTAGCTATAGTTCCTTGTTGGTATTGTGGTAGTTGGAAGGACACCCATCAATCAAGTGGCCATGACCTGTAGCTCCGCCCACAGAACTCTGCCCAGCTAAAGTGGAAAGGTCTGGTAGAGCTGCGTGGGGCAGGGCAGAGGCGGGTGTTGCTTTCTCTCCAGGGGAGGTCAGTTCCCTGTTGTCTGCCATGGCCATCTCTTGAGGCCCCTTGCTCTGGCTCTCTGCTTCAGCCCTCGGTTGACTCATCAGCATATTTTAACCTTATTTTATACCTGCTTTATTTGGGGATGATGGTCCGAGAGCTGTGTTTATTTTCTTCATCAGCAATACTAGCAGTAATAGTTCTTGCTTTAAGCTAGGAATTATTCCAAGTTAGTCTATAAATATCAACTCAATAAGTCCTGTGACCTTGAGAGGGAGATGATTTCATTATTCCTAGGTAGGGAGGCTGGGACACAAATAAGAGCTTACAGAAGGGCCTGGGTCAGGCAGCTCAGACACCTGGACATGGACACCCCCATCCTGTGTTCGTATCCGTCATTCTGCTCCCAAGATAAAACAGACTAGAAAGGTAGCCTGTCCATCAGTCTCTGCCAGAGAAGCGGAGGTGGTCCAGGACACCCATCACTCAGATGGCTATGACCTCTATCCCCACCCAGAGAACTCTGGGCAGCCAGAACTGAAAGGCCGGGTAGAGCTGCTTGGGGCAGGGCAGGGACATTGTCATTTGCTCTCCCAGAACGAAGCACTGGGGCCCGGGCTGATGTGAAGGCGATGTAGCAGGGGCTTCAGGAATTTGCTCTGAAAAAAATAGCTACAGCAAGAGGACCCAGGGGCTGGAGAGATGGCTCAGAGGTTAAGAGCACTGGCTGCTCTCCCAGAGGTCCTGAGTTCAATTCCCAGCAGCCATATGGTGGCTTACAACCATCTGTAGTGAGTTCTGATGCCCTCTTCTGGTGTACGGGTGTACATACAGACAGAGCACTTGTATACACACAAAATAAATAAATAAATCTTTAAAAAAATTAAAAAGAGGAGGAGGAGGAGGAGGAGGACCTGGTTTGACTGACAGGCAGAAAGGGGATGGGATGTTGGAGTTTGGCTGTGTTCTCAGATGAACAGGCTTTCTGCTGAAAACTGAGCCGTGTTTAAGATACCGGCTGTGTGTGCTGCAGGCATCAGAGCTAGGGGGCAGGATTGGCAAGCTTGTTGGAGTCCAGATGATGTCATCATGAGCCCAAGATGCCGGATATGGAGCTGCGGTGTTTAATATGTGCTCTGCTGGTGTTCAGTCTTACGGTGTGATCTTTCCTTGTCAATTATTGCAATGTGAATGCTTGCTTGTGTCTGTGCGTACTATAAACGTATGACTTATTTATTTATCTATTTACATGTTTTTTCAGTGCTCACAGCTAGGAGCTACCTTGAGTCATAGGAGACCTAAATAACACCTCTGAATCATGTTAGAACTGTTGAGATTTATGGAGACCCTTAGAGATGGACCAAATACATTTTGATTTATAAGATGGCAGTAAGTATATGGGGTAGAGTGTTACTGTTTGAATTATTCCTACAGGTATAGACATTTGAACACTGGGTTCCAACTTGATGAGGCTTGGATGCTCAGACACTCTTGATGGGTGAGGACTCTAGCCAAATATCTTTCTAAAAGGGCTAAGGGGCCAGGGCCAGATGACTCTTCCTGAGCCAAAGCAGCCCCTGTGTCTGTGCTAGGGAAGAGAGCAAGACCCTTTAAGAAACCTTAGGGGGCTCCGGGGTGTGGATGCTGGTTCATACAGTAGCTGTGTCTCTTTTGAGGAACCTACACAGTATGCCCTGTATCTGCTCTACCCTCCATCCCACCAGGAACACAGAGAGCTCCAAACTCCCCACACCTGCTGGCGGTGACCCCCCTTTTTAAACATTGCTACCAACCCACAAAGTGGGACAAAGCAGATCTCACTGTGACAGCTTTTCTTTAATGGGCGTTGGCCATTCGTGTGTCTTCCCTGGAGAAATGAGCGTCCAGTCTTCGGCCTGCCTGGTGCTGGTGTGTCCTTGTGTCGTAGGAATTCTTTCCACGGTCTAGTTATTAACTCTATCAGATGTACCACTTGTCAGTGTGTCCCCTCCTGTAGGCTTTCTGGTCACACCCTCTGCATCTCTCTCGTGCGGTCTGTCTGCCTCTCTCTGTCTCCCTCACTCTCTCATCTTTCCATCCCTCTCTCCATCCACACTTCTGATGGATGGTGCTGTCTTCTGAGGACCCAACACAGCACTTAGTCACAGGCTCTTCCATGGGCCTTGCTCCCCAGCCCTTAGTGATTAACGTCCTTTGATTAAATGAAGTTTTTGTTGTTGTTGCTGCTGTTGATGAACTCCTATTAACTTATTTATGATTTTTGTATAATATTTGAGAGCCCATTGCAAACACGAGGTTGTAAAGATGTATCCTACATTTTCTGAGATGTGTGTGGTTTCAGCCATCAAAACTAAGATAGTACTATATTTTTAGCTGGGTTTTGAATACAAGGTGAGGTGGAGACTCAACTCCAGTCCTTTGTTGAGGGCACGTGGTTCTTCCCATGGAATGGCCTCAGCCCGCTTGTCAGGAATCATTGACTACTGCGTGTGTGTTCACTCGTGGATTCTGGTTGCCGTCCTGTTGGTACCTATGGGGCATGGCAGCATCCCACTGTCTTTATAGAATCAATCAGTCTCTCTCTCCCCTCCCTATTTACCTCTCCTTATCCCCCCTCCCTCCCAACCAGGTTTATGGGTGTTTTGCTTGTATGTATGTCTGTGCACTAGTATCTGGTGTCTGTGGAGGCTGGAAGAGGGTGTCAGATCCCCTGGTATTGGAGTTATAAGTAGTTGTGAGCTGCCATGCAGGTGCTGGGAATTGAACCCAGGTCCTCTGGAAGAACAGCAAGTGTTCTTAACTGCTGAGCCATCTGTCCAGCCCCTTCCTGTTTTTTCCCATGCCACAAGCCTTCCCCATGAGTGGTTGAGGGTGGGGTGGCCTGGGCTGTTGGGACTCTCTTTTTCAGCATGTGGCATCTGTGTCCACTAGAGCCGAGGGGCAGCCTCTTGGAATTCCTGGATTGAGGTGGTTTGTCCAATGGTCAGCTTCACTGTGGAGTAGGAGCAGGAGGAGGGGCCAGGATGGGGCGGAGCCTGGGAGCTCCCACTCCCCAGGAGCCTCAGCACCTCCTGCCTCAAGTGCACACTTTCCTCCATTAGGGGTGAGTGCAGGATGCCACACACTCAGCCTCTGGTCTGGCCAGGCACAGGCCTGCAGCTACGCCATCCCTCTGGCTGACCTTGCTGACTGAGCCCCTGTGGGTTCTGCCCCTCCAGGGTAACCCTGGGTCAGCTGACTGGCAGCTGCTAGCATCCTTTATCCTGACCAGCAGTGGGAGAAGGGATGTCAACTCCTCCACAATCAGTCCTAGTGCCCTTCAGGACTGTTGGCTTCCTTACAGCCATCTGCTGTCCTTTGGAAGGGCTGATGATAGTCAACTTGGGGAAGAAAGGTTTTGTTTCATCTTACACTTCTCAGGTCACACTCCATCACCGAGGGAAATCAGGACAGAAGCTCAAGGCAGGAATGGAAGCTGAGACCACGGAGGAACGCTGTTTTCTGGCCTGCTCCTCATGGCTTGCTCAGCTTGCTTTCTTTCTCCCCCCGCCCCCCGGATCCCATGCCCAAGACAGGGTTTCTCTGTGTAGCCCTGACTGTCCTGTAACTCTCTCTGTACACCAGGCTGGTCTCAAACTCACAGAGATCCACCTGCCTCCGCTTCCCCAGTGCTGGCATTAACAGCATGTGCCACCACCACCCGGCTTCAGTCTACTTTCTTATATAACTGAGGATCAACATCCATGGTGAGGTGGGACCTCCCACATCAATCGTCATATGTATCACAGGCCAGTCTGGTGGGAGCATTTTCTTAGAGAGGCCCTCTTCCCATGACTTCCCAATGACTCTAGCTTGTGTCAGGTTTACATAAAACTAGCCAACACAGTTTTTTTTAGTTTAGTTTAAAAACATTTATTTTTACTTTTATTTATACGTCCATGTCTGTGTGAGTGTATGTACATGTGAGTGCAGTGCCCACAGAGGCCAGATGAGGGTGTTGGATCCCCTGGAACTGAAGTTACAGGTGATGTATGCTGCTCAGATGGGTGCTGGGAACTGAACTCTGGTCTGCTGCAAGGGCAGTAAGCACTCTTAACTACTGAACCATCTTTTAGCCCCAAATGTGTGTGTGTATGTGTGTATGTGTATGTGTGTGTATATGTGTGTGTGTGTATATATGTGTGTGTATGTGTGTTGGTGTGTGTGTATGTGTATGGTGTGTGTATGTGTGTGTGTATATGTGTGTGTGTATGTGTGTGGTGTGTGTATGTGTGTGTATATGTGTATGTGTGTATATGTGTATGTGTGTATATGTGTGTGTATGTGTGTGTATATGTGTGTTTATGTGTGTATGTGTGTGTGTGTATGTGTGTGTGTGTGTGTGTGTGTGTGAGAGAGAGAGAGAGAGAGAGAGAGAGAGAGAGAGAGAGAGAGAGAACAACTTGTCTCTGTCTAGCCTCTCTACCACGGTGGTTCAGGATTGAACTCAGGTCATCAGGGTTGGGCGCATGTGTCTTTACTCGCTGCACCATCTTACCAGCACTTCCTCCCTCTCTCTCTCTCTCTCCCTCCCCCCCCCTCAGTTCATCTGTTTCTGATGGAATGACTTCTGTGGGTGTTTCAGGTCCACTGACATTTCTTCATTCTCACATCTTCTATCAGGCTCGCCCAGTGTGTATTTAAATTTCAGCTATTGAACATCTCAGTTTTAGAATTCTCTTTTGTTTGATTAAGTCCATT